AATTTGTGTGCCATAGAACAAATAAAACTCATAGTTTTCGAATCATAAATATTAGTCTTAGTTTTGTGATTATTAATTAATTAATCTTTTCAATTCAACTGTCTTTCATTTCCTACTCCGGCTAGTTCTTTATCCATTGTTCTACTTCTAAACTTATGTTCTTGCAATCAATTTTTCATTTGTTTTAAATATTCATTTGTGAAATCTTGCCTCAATGTTGGGACTTAACAATGCCATTCTATTCGAGAGCTAACATCCTTGGTAGCTTCACTCCATGACACTTCACTCAGTTTCCTCTATGAGTAATCATTGCAATGATATCAACCATTCATCAAAAGCTCTAATGTTATGAGCACAAGCCAAAAGGAATGGCTCATCCTAAAAAAACCAACATATTAGAAGAATGCACATTGAACTGCTTATTTTAAGTAATTAAATATATAAACATGTGTATGATGGTAAAAAATTAATGGAAGAACTATATTTAAGGCCTCTCAAGGGAATTTATAATAATAAGGACCCATCAGTTTTGCATCCAATATTGTCTTGTGCAAACATGTATATGTTGTTAAAAATTGAGCTAGTTAAATTTCTAAGAAAACTCTAACAAAAAATACAAGGTTTAGCTTTTAATAATATATACGTGTTTTTGAAATTAAATGTTATCAATCAATTGGGTTCCAAATTATAATTTTGAATTAATTACTCTTCTACTCCTATTTATAAGATCATACTCACTGGTTCTTCAATAATTTTAAAAAATTTAATAAAATATTTATAACTCATTTTTTAAAAACACTTTTGTCTCTCTTTAACACTTAGCTTAATTGATAGCTTTTCCATCCTTTCTTCCTTCCCTAATGAACTACTTTATCAATCAAAGGGTGACTTTGAAATGTTGTAAATTAAACTTTTTTGGGTGCATTTGACTAATTGTAACTAATTTTTAATCTCATGAAAATAGTTGACAAGGCTAGCTTCTTATAAAAAAGACAAAGGAGCATTGGAATTCAAATTTTGAATTCCAATCTGTTTAACTCTTCAATGAAGAAGTTAACTCAAATTTTCTCCTGACTGTTAGAATCAAATTGCATTGTTCGGTCTAACCAGTAACTAGCTTATAGTTCACTCTAGTCAAGCTTAAGAACCGGAAGAAAGGTGAACCAGGATACAATCAATCAAAACCAATGAAAATTGATAAAAAACTGATCAAGAATTTATTTTTTTCATTTGTTTAAAATATCAGTATCCCAAACCAATGCTATTTTATGTTATATATGTCTCGTGGTTGGTTTTTCTCTTGTGTTATATATATTTGTGTGTGTGTGTGTGTGTGATGATGATGATGATTCAATGGTAATTTTTGTTAATAATGGAACCTAATTATACTTTGTTAGTTGGATTATAAAATGAATGTCACATATTCAATCTGTTTTTAAATACAAACAAATTTTAACCAACTCACATAATTCAAAAAACTTAGTTAATCATAATAATTATATTTAAAATTTAAAAAGTTTGGACTAAAATATCCTTGTACATTTTGGTAATTTGTGATGAACAACAATTGGTTTTATTATAATTTTGGTTGGATTAAACATCAACTTTAGTTAATTAATTTAAAATATTTCATGGCTTCGACGAAAATGAATATTGAAACTTGAAAGCATACGTGATTCATGAAATATGTTGTGTAAATAGGAAGAAAGATGATTGCTGGAAGTGCTACTGGGTAAATAGGAGAGACGCAAGAGATGATTGATTTGACAACGAAGCACAATATGACAACCAACATTGAAGTGATTCTGATTGATTTAGATCGAGCCACTAGAAATGACGTCAAGTATCATTTTTGAATTGACGTGGCCAACACCCTCCATGATGTCTCTCTCCTTAACTTGAAATTGACAATGAAACTAAAATGTTAGGTCAAATATTAATTTCTTCAAATATTTTTTCACGGCTTTAAAAAAAAGTTAGGTTAAGTATTTTTTTCATTAAAAAATGTAAGACATTTTTAACTAAATCTTATACCTCAAGAAAGTAGTTATCTACTTTCAAATTAATCATATCTTTTTATATTTATCTCTGTTAAGCACCCTCATAAGGGCACTTTTGGAAACAAGGCAATGATTACACCTCGAAATACTAAAAATATCTTACATTTTTTAACATCCAACTCCTCAAAAAATGTCTTATATATTTTAACGGAGAGAGTATTAATTTCTTGAAATATTTTACATCTTTCTAATTATATCTTCACTGAATACTTTATATAAGTGTTTTAATAATGATAAATAAAATTTTAATGCATCATTTTTAAAAAAAGAGTAATAAATGATATATTAGTAAAATTGAAAAATAATTATAAAATTATTTAATGTCCTATATCATGAACCAGATAAGGCCTTTAGAAAATACCTTATATTATGATTTGGTAGGAGAATATAGATATATATGTATATATATCTCTCTCTCTAAAGCAAGCCAATAGTCTTATAGCCTTGAGACACGAAAGCTCCCTTATACATAAATAGAAAGTCACAAGTTGGGTCTCATTTATAGCTTTAAGCCTTAAGGTTTTATTTTTGTTAATGAACTTATTTTTGAGGAGCATTGAGCATCTTGTACAAATGAATGGCACAATTTTTCCCAAACCAGTTTTCCAAGAAGCAAAAAATCCTCTAAGAACATTGAAAACCCTAAAAACTTGCTACAATGAAATTTAATAAATATTATTAAAATATTAAATATTTTAATATTTAATAATTTAAATATGATTATTTATGAATATATTCATCCAAAAATTATAAGTCATAGAAAATTAATATTGATTAAGTTCCTTAAGTAATTTTCTTGGTCAACTAAGGATTAGTAAATTAGATTTAGTTATAACCAAAAAGTAGGATATTGTCATCCTATCAATATCTTTTAAATTATATTTAGGATTTGGATATATTATTTTATTATTTTTAGAATTCTATAAATAAAATTATAATTTTCATTTATATATAGTTTTGAGTATTATCGAATAGAACTCAATAATATTGGTGATATTCTCTTTGTCTCCTATCTATTTTTTCTCTCCCACTCCTTTTCTCTTTTCTCTCTTACCCTTTTCCCCTTCTTGCTCTGCATCACATGACCACCTGAATTCTTTGCATTAATATCAATTCATATATCAATATCAAATATTAAGGAACCAACGGTAATACTATTGATATAGTAATTAAACATAAAAAAGAGAGAGCCAAGATTCAAGCAAAAGTTGTTGAATACAATGAAGCTAATTTTCAAAGTAAGTTGTGCAAGAACTGAGATGCCAACTTACAAAATGACTTCCTTATAATTTTTATTTTTTTGGAAGCAAGCATAATGTTTGAAGAAGTACGTTACCAAACCCAAAACTCGGTGCCGCACCGTACACGTCTACTACCACAAGACTGGAGGGTTAATGTCAATTATTTTTATTAGTATATATGTGTAGCTCTCCCTTTTTCAAACAAAAAATCACAATTCATTTTAAACTTTAAAAGGAATAATGTTGAAACTTCAAAATTTGACTAATAAATATTAAAAAAAATACAAAGTTATCACAATAACAACAACAAATAAATTTAAAAACTCAAACATTTATGAAAAATATATAATGTTAATCATAAAATAATAGTAAATACAAGTTTTTATTTTTTTCTTTGTGGGGAGGCAGGAATACCTATCCTAACAACGTTGCATATGAAGAAAGGGAATTAAGGACAGGCTGGAAATGGAAGATCTCAGAAAAAGATGGCTCTCACATGAAGAGTGGGATAGTATAAGTACACAAATATTGAGCTACCTAGAGCAAGACATTGTTATTAAAAAAAAGGACTTCTAATCTTTTTTTTTTCAATTTTACCCGGAATAATAATCTATTTCTTTATTTCTTGTTTTTCTTTCCAGAAACATCAATAATTTAACTTCTTTCCTTTTTCATTTATGATATCCCTAAAAGGAGCATTACACATGACATAAGTATTATTTAGGTTTCCAATGATGAACATCATCACCAACTAATTAATTGACAGTGGGCGGGTGGCTTGTAATTTGAAGGTGACTTCACATGAGCAAGAGAGATTGATGGGATCAGAAATAACTCAACACAAACCAAAAGCACAACTAGTAACAACTTGGCCACCAGCTTAATTGCTTAAGGTTTATTTCTCTCTCGTGTAGAATGCAGATAGCATGGTTGGGAGTTCTCTGGCCTTTTATAATGTTACAAGTTACCATGATCATCAATATTGGTGATGTCATTGATTGAATCTAGTCACTATATTTGTTTTTTTCA